AAGAATGCACACATACTTTTTGAGTCATATTCTTCCAGGAATGATCTGGCTTGAGACAACATCTTTGAAAGCTATATTACTTTTCCCAAGACTGTATGTACTTGGAGGCAGCCAGAAATTTCTGGCAGATTGATAGAATTTATGAGATTTAAACGTACACTTTGCAAACAGATGGACACTTAACACAGCACTTGAATAAAATGGGGTAGATCGCTTTTTGCCCAGTAGAGACCATTCTGACAGCAGAAGTCACACTTAAGACACAGAAGGAGATGCAGATGGCTCCCTTGTTGAAATGCTTCGTCTGCAAGCTGACACCATTGCGAGTGTCAAGAAATGGACTCCTTTAAAAAGAAAATCAGATCCAATTCAAGGTATTGACAGTGTTGCTCCAGATAGTGGATCTTCATATATGTCATCTATTATTCACTCTTTCCCATGTACTTTAACATTTAATACCTTCATTTATCTGTCCATTCACTCAGCAAATATGTGTACATGTGCCTGACACTGTTGTGGTGGTGAACAAAACAGAGCCGCCATCTGCCCTCAAAGAGCTCACAGCCTAAACAGAAAGAGACAAGAAATAAGCAATCGCAGTGAAGGTGACACAGTAAGTGAGCACAGGTGCCATGGGATTCTGAACCAGACGTGGGCAAAAGCTTCAGGCCTGAAGGGCTAGCTGGGAGATGTGGCAGAGAGTTTTTTCCCTACTTTATTTACTGCTCCTACCACCATAACCTTCCCCCAAATGTTGAGCCACTTATCCTTTAAAACTGCAACCTAAATATGGTCAAAATTCCCATAGGCTGACATTTAATAAAAATAACAACACTAAATCCTGAGGATAAAGAGAAAGGAAAAAAAAAAATACAGAGGATACAAACAACACAAAAATAATCAAGTCCTCAAAATGTAGGATGTTGATCTTTAAGATAACTGCGTAGAAGTAGAACATCTTTGCTTGAACATAGTCTGGCTTTCTGCTCCCTTAAATCCACATCTTCTTGTGGGTAGGAATATTTGTTTATATCATGGGGAAGCAGGCTTCTGGGTAATTATCTATTTCCAAGGAAAAATGGGAAAACACCTTTCATAAATATCTCTTACCCTTATTTCGAATACTTGTTAAATGAGAGGATTTTCCACATTGAATTGGCTATATCAAGGTAAGCAACAAAATGATTTATCTCTCACTCACTCCACAAAAGGTAACGTTTTTGCTAACACTGCTTGCATGGTATCTCACCTTAACTCTGTAATACATACACACATTCGTACACACAGATATAAGACAGGACACTGATACTCAAGGCAAAGTTTCAACCTTGAACAAGGGAGATATGCAGAGATACATGTGCAACTACAACTTCAAGTCACCGCCCCATTAACCTGAGAGGACTACAAAAGCAGTTTCTAAAAAGTTACTGAATTGCTCATGCCAAAGGACTTCTACAAAATATAGGGCTTTTTACTCTTTTTACTCTTCTCTTCCCTTCCTATCTGTGTTCATTAAATAAACATTGTCTGTTCTTTCCATTTTTTCCCTCATCCTTCACTTCCCTTCCCTGCTTTTGAGGTGACAGGAGACAGCAAGACCTGGGGGCCACAGCTGAGGAGGTGGTCAGGATCAAGGAGGCCGGCTGGGGCCGGCGGAACCAGTGTCAGGGACGCAGCCAGATTGCCAGGGCCTTTGGGGAAGGGTAAACAGATAGTGAGGACCAAGGCCAATGGGGCCTCCAAGGATGGGACCAGGACCAAGGAGGCAACTGCGGCCAACGGAGCGGAGAAGGTGCTTGGTGGAATTGAGATATCGGTTACATACAGGGTGAATGATTAAATACAAGTTTCTCACTTTTAGAGAAAAGTGCTAGATATACAGAAAGGGTAAAGGCCAGTGTGAATCCTGTGGTGTTGAGGTGGAATTAGAGATACCACTGTGAGTTCACGTTAAAGGGATGGATGGATGGATGGATGGATAAATAGATAACAGAGAAACAGATACAGATGCTATATATTGTGTGGGTATGTATATTTGCAATTTCTAGCTCTGCCCACATAGAAGGCCTAGAAGTAATGCCACTCAGGAAGAGGTGAGCACACCAGCATCTAGATCTTGGTTTCTAAAAGCCATCATTCAGTAAAGGAGGTTCCGTTCCTTAGAGAATGGGCTGACTCAAGGACTGGAACAGCAAAAGTACAATACGAACCTGGAATGTCTTATGCCAGAAAGTGAGGAAATGCTCAAATAATGGAGTCTTGTCAAAAGTATTTACGTGCTAACGTTCAAGAGCTCCTACCAGCCCAATTTGGGATAACGTGAGCATCAAAATAAATAACCATGTTAATGTATTATATCCCATTGAATAAAATAGCTATCCATCAGTCTACACTGATACAGATCAACAGATGGGTAAACAGATAAATATAGGAGACAGGAATTTTCTTTACAGTAGGATTCTAACTAATAAATGCAAAATGGTGATGAAATTAGGCAATCACCATTTAATAATCATCATTGTAATAACTGATTCAGGCAAAAATCATCAATGAATGCTAAATCTAGTGTTTGAAAGTTTAAAGAGTAACTGAATATTTACATAGTTTCAAAACATTCCATACATGGGAAAATTGGTAAAAATCCAGCAGACATCACTGTAACTAACTGATCAGCACTGCGTGTGCCTCCTGGCGGGATACATGGGGCGTATGTGGTGAGAACAGGGCGTCCTGGTGAGGAATTCCTACTAAAATCCATAATCTGGACTGAAAATGAGGAAACATCGGGCAAACTTTAGGTAACAGACACTCTGGAAAATGACTAGCCTGTACTCATCAAAAGTATCAACAACATAAAAGCCGGGAGGGATGGAGCAAAATGTTCCACACTGAAAACTGAAGAGATGACAACAAAATGCAACACGTGATCCTGGATTCAATCCTGGGCTGGAAAAAAAGTGGTTTTGTTTCTTTTTTTTTTTTTTTTTAAAGGGGGGCATTATTAGAGACACTTGGTAAATGGAACGGGGCTGTAGGGTTCAGCGTGGGCCTTTGTCTCTGTTACATTCCTGGCT